CCCAAATCCCCTAAATCCCATCCCATCTCACCCTTCCCCCCCCCCAAGAAACGAAAGCACTCCCTCAAACCTCCAAACCCACCCTACACATCTCCACATCTCCATATCTCCACAAGTACCTCAAAAAGCAAGACCCCATCAAAAGCCAAGCTACGGTAAGTAAGAAAAGTCAGTTGTTTAACAAAGTAAATATAGATAATGTTAGATTTTCTTCAAGCGACATTTTACAGTTCCAACTTCTTACATGCGGGATATTAATAGTTGAAAATATCATTATAACAGGCGCGATGAGGTCGTGTTATTTTAAGTGGTGTGATGAAGTTGTGATGTTAGATGAGATGAGAAATGACTTTAGCCGGTTTACTTGTTGTATAGGTAGTCGTAAAATTGAAGTACCTTTGTAAGGACTTATAGTATGTACGTATCTTACTTTCCTCCCATCGTAACCCAACTTGTTCTCTTGTCAACCTCCTAAAATGAAGGTCAGAGTTTTGCAGGCTTATACATAACTCCACTCGAAGAGATATTATCCATACAGGACATACCAGCAACAGGAAAACAAAACACAAAACACAAAACACCACAGAAAAAACACACACAGAGCAGAAAGTTTTGTTCAACAGTAATTTCTTCTTGGTTTCTCGGGAAATACGCTGTTCAGTTCTTTCATCACTTTTCACCTCGAGGTTCGCAGACATCAGTCATACAGCGATACGCTATTAGCAACAGAGCAGAGTGAAAGAGAAAACAGATCAAATGAGTTTATGAGTTTTTGGTATTGCCCCATTTCGCTTCATTCCCATAATTTCATTTCCCCAGTAGTGCCAGTAAAAAACCCCCAATGCAAAATATGGATCCTTTACATGACGACACCGGAGTTGGATGCGATACGCTGGAAACATCACTTAGCAAGGATATTATTTGGGGCGGAGAAGGGGGAAACTTACTGGCCATAATTCAGCTGCCTCTTTTCCGACTGGTCCAGTGATTGCTGATCCCTTCATCTCACCCTTTGGGTTGACAATCTGTGGAGAATTTGTTAGCGCTGATTTTGCCATGTATGTCATCTGCTCTTGGTATATCCATCCTCTTTCCGAATCTCATAACGTTGAAGGTTCTTTCCAATATGTCGTCAATCCCCACCTCCATCCCAGTCCCACCCCAACTCTTCCACATTCTCCCTCCCATGCTTCCCATCCAAGCCCCCTCAAGCCCATCCAGAAGTTTTGAAAAGAAGAAAAGAAAGAGGGATCCAAAACTTACAACACCAGCATTGTCCTCAAAGTACAAGAAGACACCATCAGTTCGTCTCCAAGGCTTTGACTGTCTAACAATAACAGCAGGCATGACCTTCTTTCGCAACTCAGGCTTTCCCTTCTTAACAGTCGCCATGACCATATCACCGACACCACCAGCTGGCAGACGGTTAAGACGCGCACCGATACCCTTGACGGAGATGATGTAGAGATTTCGGGCTCCGCTGTTGTCGCAGCAGTTCATGACGGCTCCGCTGTCCAATTCGTTAGTCTTTGCTCCTTAATTGCATCTTCCATTTTTCATGACGTTTGTATGTGATTGGCGAAAGGAGATCGAGTCGCGAGGTCGAGGAATGGTTCGTACATTCGAGGACGAGGGGAACGTACACTGGAAGACCGAGGGTCATCTTAAGCTTGCCACCGGGGGCACCACGTCTATACGCAAAAAAGTATCAGCATTCAATTTCTCCAGCTCCATCATCCATTGATATCCCTCCCATAATTCCACTTCGTCTCGCCAGCTCTGGTGGCTCCAATCCCATCCGCGCAGCTCTCGAAATCCGTGAAGGGCCGCACCTCGCAGATGGAACGGCGCACCAAGCTTCTCAATTCCATAGGCTCCACGCCATAGATCGTGGGGTATAGAGGGGAACTTACGATAATTTGGCCATTTTTGCTGTGAATCCTTGAACGTGTTGGAGTCAAAGATTAGTTTCGTTAGGGTGAGGGCGGGGAGGAAGAGTCGTAAATTTTGGATTGCCGTCGCAAATATTGCCTGGATATTTTTGGCGGTGCGATTACCCTAATCGCACGTGCTTTATCTAAGCGACCACCACGTGATTTATCGGACCCACCCGTCCATGAAATTCACCTCTAAATCTTCATTTGAAAAGAACCACGCTAGTCGGCGCTAGCAATATGCTCTACTACTCACATTGCACATGATTCGTTCTGAAAATCTTTAACTATCTCCATAGAGTAGTTGCTAGGGTTACAAGGTCTCGACTCTCAAAGTTCAAGTCACTTCACTTTCCGATGCTCAGCGATTTCACAAATAAATTCGTTTCAAGATCTCCGTTCTATTATACAGCCAAGTGAGCGACTAGGTAGCCTTTTCCTTTTCCAGACATTGAAAACCCCCGGAGAGTTTCGAAAAAGAAGTTCTTCCCTTCCATACATGATGAACGTCCACTGATCCCGATGCCCCCTAACGCCTATGACACCATGCTCAGAAGAACCAAATTGTACAAACCAACCACCCCCGAATCTGAGATCTGCAAGTCGGGCCCTGTCAAAAAGTCTTCAAAGACACTCGTAGATACTTTTCATTGAAGACCACCGATCATGAATCTGTCTGCATCGCGGTCTCGGGGGCGGCGGCCTCCGTAACAACTTCCTTCTCCTTCTCTTTCTCCGGCTCCGGCTCCTTGGCTTTCTCCTCAACAATAGGGGCAACTTCCTGCTTGACTTCCGTAGGCTCGGTAGACTCGGTCGGCTTGGGTGTCTCTTCGACTGGAGGTGTAGGAGCCTTCGGCGATGGTTTTGGTGAGAGTGGGGCTGCTACTGGAACTGGAACCGGTGAGGGCGCCTTTTCCACCTGAAGAACGGGTGCTGGCGTTTCTTCTGGTGCATCTGTATTCATCTCAATATCCCCGTCCTGGTCGACAGTAGTTGGCTTTGGCGGGTCAGCCTTTGATGGTGCAATTGATGTGCCGTTTTCGACAATCACAGGTTCAAGTGCTTTCTTTTCCATCAGCTCAGCACTAACTTCCGCATTTGCGTCTATGGCCATCGCCGTAACAACCTCATCGACACCATTTCGAATCTCCGGAGTAGCCACTCCACTGTCCATCTCAACATCAGAAGCAACGGTGTTGGGATTTTGGTAGTCCATAATATTTCGTCGTTTAACTTTTCCAGGCTGAACACTGACACCATTTGCTCGATTCTCTTCCTCGTCTTCACTTTCATCAAGTTCATCGTCTCGGACAATGCGCTCATCCCATCGACGTTGAGTGCGACGAGTATCTTTGTTATCGTCCTCATCTTGATCGTCCAGCTCATCCTCATCATTGTCCGTAGCACCTGTGAGCGTAGTTCGAGGCACATCCGTCATTTGGACTGATGGTGCATGGGCGGTTTTCTTGAGATTCTCGATAACTTGAATCTTGATCTTTTCTAGGTAATCTTTCGAATTGGCGTTTTCCATATTTGACGAACGAACATCAAGCTCGTAATCAGGGCCATAGTACTTGTAGTAGTCAGCATTTCAGTTTCTCATGATCCGATAAATGAAAGACTTACCTCATAGTATTCATTGTAAGGAAGTGTGGGGGTCATTTCTTGTCCGACAAGAACACCAGTTTCGTATGCCCAAGTACGAGCAACGTTTCGCATCGTATAACCACCTCCTCCGAGAACCAGTGTAGGCATTCCAAAGCTTTTGACAAATTCAACGCAATTTGCGTGACCTCTCATACTTAGATTGAAACAACCGAGACGATCGCCTGACAAACTGTCACCACCACATTGGAGCACAATTGCCTCGGGTTGGTAGTAATCCATCACGCTCTGAATGACTGGCTCAAAGATGGATTTGTAGGTCTCATCGTTGATTCCATCTCGGAGCGGGAAGTTGACAGCGTAATTCTTACCCTGGCTGACACCGATATCTCGAAGCTCACCGGTACCAGGAAAGTATTCTCCATATTTGTGGAATGAGACCGTCATGACACGATCGGTAGTATAGAAAGCTTCTTCAACTCCGTCACCGTGGTGGACGTCAATGTCGATATATAGAACTCGCTTTTTGAATCGTAACAATTCGATGATGCCGAGAACAATGTCTGAAGGTGACGTTAGAACGAGTCTCGAGAATGAGGCTTCAATACTTGCCATTCACATAACAAAATCCCGATGCCTCGCTCTTTTTTGCGTGATGCAGACCACCAGACCAGTTGATGGCGATATCGCATTTGCCACGATTAAGTCTTGCGGCTCCTTCCATACTACCACCTGCACTGATTCCACAGAACTCGAAGAGACCGTCGAAGACTGGGCAATCATCTCCAACATTGTACTTTGACTGTTCCTTGGAAAACGAGTCCATGTTATCCGGGGTAACCTTCTGGAGGAAGTCAATGTACTCGTCGGTGTGAAATTGTGTCATCTCATGGCGGGTCGCAGGTTTTGCTCGCTGTTAGAGAATTAGCAGGTATTTGAGGTACAAAATTCCACCAAAGCTGAGGCTGAGGCTCGAATCCAAGTTGAAGTTGCAGTGGAACTTGAATTTGGATTTCGACTTGAAGATTTGCGCAAAGATACGGGGTTATGGGGAAGAGGGGAGTGCCAAGTTGAGGTTTTCCTGACAGAACTTACGTAGATTTCCATCTTCTGGTAAACTCCATAGTTCATAATCAAACTATGCGCCAATCTAATTCTGTGAGGCTTCATGGGATGACCAGCAACGTAGGCATAGTTTCCAACATCGGAATCGTAGAAGTATGCTACTCGCTTTTTGTTGCTTGGCCCATTGGCCTTGACGGGGTCGATGGGTGCGAAAGAGGTCATCGCGAGGTGCTTTAGTTTGTAACCAGTGCGCAATTGTAGATCGGTTGCAGGTCTTGAAATAGACAAATGAAGATCTATCTGAGGATATGGGGGTCTCTAATCTGTGGGTCAAATCATCAGAAGATTGTGGGTTGGGAAATAGGAGGTTGTGGTAAAAGTCGGAAAGAGTTGAGTTATTCAGAGCTGCGAGAGCTTGAGGGGCACTAGGAGGTGAAGTAGAGCAGCCGAACAGCTCTCACTATCCCAGCCACCGCGGCAAGGCTACCAATGAGGGAAGCTAAAGGCAGCACTAGCAAGACGAACGACCCTCAATCGTTTAGCTTCACACGCCAGCGAAGACCGAAGCCGATTGTGACGCATAAAATTGGTGATAAAAATCCGGAATTAGTATGAATATTTTCGAATCATATTATATACTATTTTTGAAAAACAGAGTAGGAAAAACGACGATCTGCTTCTAGGAAATGATTGGGTGCCGCCGCTTTGTTGGTGGAGACAAGGCTGCGTTGAAGCCTGAGGCAGTGTCAACGCGTTCAAGCGTGCCTGAACCTTAGCTGCTTCAGTGGAAGTGCTTTGGTGAGAGCAACATCAGATTGGCAACAATTTCAAGATCAACACCATCCCTCGATCCCCATCCCATACAGCCATTGAAATCTCCATCTCCCGTCCAAATAAAATCATACATCTCTCGAAATGGATAGACTAAACAGAATGCTGGCCTCGGCCGGCGGAATGGGAGGACTCAACAGTGCCGCCCCCGGATCGGTAAGTTATTCCCAAATATAGCAGTGAAGAAGCTATTCGCATGGATATGAAACTGAATTTGGTATCTTAGGATAATACTACCCTGATCGATAACTCGGAAACCGTCTACATTTCATCTCTTGCGCTTCTGAAGATGTTGCGACACGGAAGAGCTGGTGTGCCAATGGAGGTGATGGGTCTGATGCTGGGAGAGTTTGTGGACGACTTCACAGTGCGGGTGGTAGATGTGTTTGCTATGCCACAGAGTGGTACCGGTGTCAGTGTCGAAGCTGTGGATCCCGTTTTCCAGACCAAGATGATGGATATGTTACGGCAGACAGGGCGGTAAGCATTATCTACAAGCTCTTCATCTGCAATACTGATAAACGAATATGATAGACCTGAAACAGTTGTTGGATGGTATCATTCACATCCTGGTTTTGGCTGCTGGCTTTCTTCCGTCGATATCAACACACAACAATCCTTCGAACAGCTCACCCCTCGAGCCGTCGCCGTAGTAGTCGATCCGATCCAATCCGTCAAAGGAAAGGTTGTCATTGACGCTTTCCGCCTCATTAACCCACAATCTTTAATGCTTGGACAAGAACCCCGCCAGAGCACATCCAATTTGGGTCACTTAAACAAACCATCCATTCAAGCACTTATCCATGGTCTGAACAGACATTACTACAGCATCGGAATCAACTACCGAAAGACTGCACTTGAGGAGAATATGTTGATGAATTTGCATAAGCATGTCTGGACGGAAGGGTTACAAATGGACGATTTCCGAATCGAGGCAGACCGAAATACCGAACGGCTACAAAAGCTCGTTGGGCTGTCAGAAGGATATGAGAAGAGAGTAAAGGAAGAGACAGAATTGACCAAAGATCAATTGAAGACGAGATATGTTGGAAAGGTGGACCCAAAGAAGCATTTGGAGGATGTTGGACAACAATTGATCGAAGACAACATTGTTTCCGTTTCAAGGCAGATGATTGACAAAGAGGCCTCGGCACCGAAAGAGAATTCCGGGGCGAATGGGCACTCAAATGGCGATGCGATGGATGTGGAGGAGGAACTATGAGCGCTTCTATACTTTGTACAACAGGAGTTTGACGTTTTACGCTTGGGCAGGTTCGTGGCAATTAATGCTGGGATATTGGGTCATATGGTGCCAGAAGCTAGTATCAATGCGGCTTCTGCAATCATACATGAAGAATGACTGGCTTCAGCGGAAGCAGTCATTGGGTTGCCCAACCGTCCGGGGAGGTACTTGGGGCAGGGTTAAATTGAAGGACCCTCTAGGTCTTTAGCATTGCTGCGCCTATGTAGCATAGTCGAAAAATAGATAATGCCACCTCTTTGCCTATGGTCATCTATCGGATAACAGATAACACCGATACTAATTGATTTGGAGTATAAATTGGCTTGTACGAACCAATCTCACCTTGTCTAACTTGAGTTCTATCTGCCCTGCCTGCTACCTTATTATTGGCACGTTGGCTAGCTTTATGACATCCAGTCACCTCTTGCGTGTATGATCATAATAGAAGAATTAATTCTTAATGCTACAGAATACTAGGAAGCTACAGTACCCACGCAACTAGTCCCGGCTAACCATCGGCAAAGCATATTCTATTCTTACAATACGAGTATCACCAACCAATCACACTTCCAAGGTTCTCTTCTCCTCATCCCCCCATCTCCACCTATTCCTACCCTACCTAACCCAACCAAACCTAGTTATGCTCACCCTAATACCAAAACAGCACCAAACCCCCCTCCCCCGCCCCCCCCAAAAAGCGGCTTTAGCTCACTTGGGAGAGCGTCAGACTGAAGTACACTTCGGACATTTACATACATACATACTCTTGTTTACTTGTACTGTACAGAGTATACATGGAGACATCTGAAGGCACTGTGTTCGATCCACAGAAGCCGCATTGCTTTATTCTGCGAACGGTAGATCACTGACCGTTGGTTTTTCGAACTTATATAAATCTTTTTTTTGGTGGTTTTTTTGGGTTTTTTTGGGGGGGACGGGAGGGGGATTTTACTACCTAGGTACTGTAGAGAGGGAAGGGAAGGAGGGGAGAGGGGAGGATTTGGATTGTTGTGGGAGTGGAAGTGGGAGTGGGGGAGGTGGGGTTGAGGGAGTGGGGTGTGTTTTTGGTGGTGGGTGGGTTGAATGAGTACGGTAAAAGGGGAGAAGCATAAGAGGTTGAAGAAAGGAGGTTTTACTAAGTTTTCTTGGATTGTTCTTTGAGGTTATTTACTCTTTCTGCGTTGTCACATTGAGAAAGAATTCGTTTCCTTCTCTGTCCTTTTCCTTTCTGAAGCCTTTACCTACACTTCGAATCCCGTCCTTCGTCCTTCGTTCCTCTACTTATTCATCCACTTTCTCGGCCTTTCGGCTGTATTTTATATGCTCGAAATGTTTTCAGTACTCGTGAAGAAGGGTTGTGCTTATTACTTATTATTCCTAGACGTGGATAGGTATAAGTTTGATCCTCTGCTTTGTGGTTGTTGTGTTTTTTCTTGTGTCTTTTATTTTGTCTTGTGATAATTCGTTTAGCTTTCTTCAAGTGATCAGCGAAAGAAAGAACTACTCGACTACTTAAGTATATCCGGGTTATTGTGAGAGGCCAGACCTCGAATAGCTCAAAGGTGTGGTTTCGAATATTCAATTAAGAAGTGGTGAAGACTACATACATGCGAGCTCTTCCTCTATATATAGAGAGGAAGAGCTTCCTGAATATTCCAAGAAACTTGCAATAAATTTGAATGACGAATACATGATGTCAGAAGAACAAAACAAGAAAGTGTGGAAAAGTAGAAACCTGTTTGGCAGTGGGGTAATGGCCAGTGCTAAGCAGGGACTTTGGTCAGTGCTTAACGAGGACTTTGGTCAGTGCTTAACGAGGACTTTGGTCAGTGCTTAACGAGGACTTTGGTCAGTGCTTAGCGAGGGCATGGCCCGAGCCTCCATCACGGGTTCCAACCCTCACAGTTATACTTAATTAGGTTAGAGTAGGTTTAAGTAGGTGGTTTAATTAAGTAGGTTAGAGTAGTAGATTCGACTACTTGAGTAATACTTAAGTAGTTTTACTATAAGTAGTAACTAAAGTACAAATAGCTAGTATTTATAAATATCTTCTCGCTAAAATAGATTAAATAGTATAGCTACCGCTATTTACCTTCTACTAGTTTAAAGTAAGAGTCTATAGAACTAATTCATAAAGAGTTTAATATATATAAAGCTTATATAAACTTACTGTTCGAGGAACTCGCTTATATAGTCGGCTAAGTCCGAGTAGGTGGACCGATAAGCCGGAACCCCTGGGCGCGCTACAGAGCCTCGGTCCGAGTTACTCTGTACTACTCAAGTAGTACTCTAACCTACTCAACTCTTGGCGAGTAGGTTAGAGTAGGGCTAAATCCTACTCAACCCTACTTGAGTAGGTGCTCCTACTCGACTCTACTCTACTAATCTTTTTCACTGCAAGTGATAGCCAAGGAGGGATAACTTGAATTGGACGATCTTTTTATCTTGATTCTGAATACTCTAGTATCTCTCTCGCCTTGACGTTGACTCTGAAAGGCGCTGGAGGTAAAGGATGTTATTTTGATGATGTAGGTGATTACATCGAAGTCCTCGAGACGATTGACTATCAGGTATAGTGTATGTTTCCAACAACGATATTTTCTGAGTCAATATCGAGCTGGTTCCTCATACTTAATTGGCCCACTATGCTTCAAATTCATTGGAAAAATAGAAGTTGGGGTTTGAGGCTCTGTGTGGTATGAAAATTGGGAGCGCTCGATTGGATGTTGGGACTTCTTGAATAGGCTGGAGTTATCGTCCAAGATGAAGTATGGAATCACGATAGTGGTTTTTGAAGTCTCAAATTAACTGAATGTGTGATTCGTACTCTATTTTCGATTCCATTCTGAGCGAGATATATGTATGGTACGGGAAGACCCGCATCGTCAACATACCGGGCTTGCGGAGGATCTTCCTATCATTGCCATTAGCAGACTTCCTATTATTGTACCCCACTTGCCAATCGGATTACTCACTACCCAAAATGTAATCATTCTATATCAATTAAGAATGAAAGGTCCATTGTGGAAGCCGAGGTGTTTAGCCTGAGCTTCCAAATCCTCGCCTAAATATTGCAATATATATTCTTGAGATTAAAGTACATTAAGCTTATCGAGAGTATCGACGAACGGCATATAGAAAGAGAATATTCCACAGGATGACCGAGATAGTTTGTTGAGATTTCTATTCCAGGTTCACTTGCACGCAAGCTATCTTTCGACAATTTCATATCGACTGACTGACAGACCACTTCAACAATGCAGTGGAAACCCGTCCTCCTATCCCTCCTCATGGAGCCCATCTCCGCACAAATGGTAATCCCCCCCATGCTCCGCTTCACCTGTTCCCAGCTCGTCGTCGACCGTCTCGACCCCCTCGTAAACCCCGGTCTCATCCCCAGTCCCCACCAACACCAAATCGTCGGCGGCAACTCCTTCAATGCGTCTATGGACCACCCGTCTCACGATCTCGCCAGGGACTCCAGCTGCACCAGCTGCACCTTCTCTGAGGACTTCTCCAACTACTGGACCGCCGTCCTGTATTTCCGCGCCCGGAACGGGACCTTCAAGCGCGTGCCTCAGATCACAAGCGAGGGGCTTGGCGGCAATGGGGGGATCACGGTGTACTACATCCCAGATGCAAATAATAAGACGAACGTCACGGCTTTTCGACCGGGTTTCCGTATGTTGGTTGGTGATGCGGCGTTGAAGACGCCGGGGAGTGCGCATAAAGTCTGTCATCGGTGTATGCCCAAGTCGGGGGATAACAGTAATCTGAATTGTGCGGCGCCGGATACTCAAACGCTGCCGAGTGGGTTCTGTGTTGGTGGGATACGATCGGTCATCACGTTTCCGACGTGTTGGGATGGGAGGAATTTGGATAGTCCGGATCATGAGAGTCACGTTGCGTATGCGGTGGGTGCTGGGGCGAATGATGTTGGGCCGACGGGGGCGTGTCCTGCGAGTCATCCGGTGGTTATTCCGCAGGTTATGTATGAGGTTATGTGGGATGTGAGTTTTGTGGTCTTTCTCGTTCGCTGAAATTTCAAGAGGTCCTGGAGAATTTGTGAACTGATGCAATCCCAATTACAGACTCGAGAATTTAACGACAAAGCATTATGGCCAGAAGATGGCTCTCAGCCATTTGTCTGGAGTACAGGCGATCAGTACGTCTTCTTTCCCCCCTTTCTCAAAGTCACGAAAAGTTCTAAATGGAGTTCACAGAAAAGGATACTCGCAGCATGGTGATTACGTTTTCGGCTGGCAGGATGATTCCCTACAACGCGCTATGGACACTCGTTGTACTGGCGATACCTGTGCGGTTCTGAAGACCCAAAGTACAGAAGACTCGATGAAATGTACCAAGAATCAGACTGTGGACGATGATCTGCATGGATGTGAGTATACTCTCTGTTCTGGGTTGTCTTGGGGGAGTGATGGCTAACGGGGTTACAGGGCTAGATACACTTCCGGGAAATCGTATCTTATTCTAGTTGTGGTTTGTAAGTTGCAGGGGCTATTTAAGGTAGTTCGTATGGGCAAAGTTGGTAATGGAAAAGAAACTCGGATTATTTATGTCATAACTATTCGCTAGAGCAAATACATATTGGGGAGATTGGAATCGTTCCTTTTTCTTTCTTAGTCATCTTGCCTATTTTGATTTGCCAACCAAGATACATTAGTGTAACCCCTCGAATCCGGGCCTGATCTAATGTGGGCGAATATAGAGAGAATATGGTGTCAGAATTAAGCGAGCTGCTGCGTTTACGAATGTATACTTGGTTCTATATTGATGTGAATAGCTTTCTTTTCTGTGAGATGAATACTCCAACCCATTAGTAATATCTCTAGACATTAACCAATCTTGTTTGATTGAAGGTTTATGACTTCAGAAGAAATACCATTTATACAATTAAGTCACGTGACTATGATTGAGTCTAGATACAGGTGAGATAGATTCCCTTGTATATTGTCTCTCTTATTATGAAAGGGGGATTTCTGGAAAAAATGCTGGTCTTCAAGGGTCTATTCTATTAACAGGCGGACGCTTAGGTGCCATCTGCTACGCCAGAAGTTAAGTAGAGGCATGCCAGCCACAGACATGTTATGAGGGTTCCAACCTATTAGAGGCCTCTTGTAAAGAGCTTCTGGCGTCTTCTTTCCACTGGTGTAGGGATGTAGCAATGAAAAAGTCCAATCGGTTGAAAATCTTGAACATCACGAGCAGGTCGTCCAATTCATCTGCGTGATTTGAATAAGTAGTTTGCACGAAGTATCAATAAGTACTTGGTGTTGTATGGGTCCTAAAGAGGGAGTCCCTTCGGGTCCTGAAAAAAATTCCGAATTCGTACCGAGGAGACACTGTTTTAAACAATAAGTTTCTTACTCTACAAAATTCGGAAAAACATATAAGAAGTACTAGTAGACTCTGGGTTAACCTATTTATATTTCTACTAGTAATTATATATCTTTCTAGTCAATCTTTTATTATTTAGTGTTCAAAAGATATAATAATAAGTGTGATTTGGGAGGAATAAAATGGGAAGTTTTTTCAGGACCCGAAGAGAGAGTGTAACTTAGCGCTGGCAGCACCTGGGTACCTACCTCGCTATTCTTCGTGACCATTGATGTATATGGGAACTAATGTTATCTAGTATACAGATTGTTTTCCTACCTTTGTATGATAACAGAGGTGAGCCCACTCGGGCTGAATACACATCAGGGGTTAAGCGAGGAGGAATGGGGACCCCATACAAACAAACAAAGTCACCATCGCCTTTGAATACCAATTCCTAAGAAGAGTACCCAAGATTCTACCCACACTTGCGGGGAGCCCATATCAAAACGCTTGATGTACCGGTACTTTATCCCAGGCGAAATAATTGAAAGTTTTTCGGTATTTTCCACCCTGTTGCCCACGTTCCTCAGCCACCCTAGGAAAGTTACAATCATATCTTCTGGGACGAAGTATACCGTGGCAAATCGTCCTTAGAGGAAATGCTAGGGTATGAGGGTGGAGTACGGAATAGTACGAAACAGTGTGAACTGGAGGCTCCTACTCACTAAAAGTCCTTCTTATGCGTAGAAGATTGCGATGAGCGGTCTAATTCCGTTCCTCTCTAGGGGCCCGTAATGCGGAATCTGTGACCTTATCGCACTATCACTTAACTTTAACTCAAAACGCTTATTTTAAGCGTACGTCATTACTCTATTTCTGTATAAAGATATAAAGATCAATAGCCTTCACTCAGATAAGAGAATCTAGGACTAGCCGCAATTACGTAGTTAGTGGGAAAAGCGAATGGAAAATACTAAATGTATAAGACTTGCTATATATAAAATTAGGTTGGCTAATATAAAATAGATAAGTAATAACATAGCGATATTCCAAAAAAAAAACTAGGTAGGTTCCAAAATAATAGGCGGCTCTCGGATCTAAAGGAAGGTTATTGACTTAAAGAGGGTGGACCGCTAAGATTCACACCCCGCTAGTTCATGAAAAGGCTCGGCCCCGATTTCCAGTGAAATATACGATTTAGAGACTTGCAAACTGTAAATATAGACATGTTTTTTCAACAAATGACCTGCGTACATGGTGTGACTCTTAGCTGTTATCCGCTGTATGAAGACTCGAAGCTATAGATAGAATATATAGTGTTTAGCTTACCTATATATAGTATTCTCATCACTTGGAAAAGATAACGACTAGAAACTATTGTCTTTAGGTTGTCTACATATACAGATAAACCTGGATATAAGGATATTCGTGGGGGCAAGTTTCGTAAGGATATAACCGAGGTTATCCTTATAACGAGGGTCTTGGCATAGTCGACGATATGATTATTTATTTAATTGTTAAGAATATATAATATAGTACTTACTAATTTATATATAAGGCTAGTAATCTAGTAATTCTTATTACTAAGTGCTAGTTTTATATTTGAAAATATAGAGAATTTATATAGAATTACTAAATTTCCGAGGATTACAAAACTTTTAAGGATATAAGTAAGGGTATTTTAGGTGCTAAAAATCTTTTAGGACCTCAAAAACTAAGGATTATCCTTATACGGAGGTATCCTTAGCATATTCACCTAAAAAATGGGGACCCAAAATTTAAGGATATAACCGAGGTTATCCTTATATCCAGTATCCTTATAGCCAGGTTTATCTGTATTGTTAAAACTTGATTCGGAGGCCCACGGTGTAGCCGGGGATAACTAATATCCGATGAACCAACACCGCAAGTGCCATAAAGTGCCCCTACTCGAGACTAGATCTTTTTAAGAACCACTTTTAATTCCTTTTTGAATGTGCTTCAAGTTCTGACGTAACTTGAAGTAGTAGCAAGGGCGGTAACGGCGGTTCCAGTGAGGCTTCTTTGAGCCTACCAATCAAGACTTTGGCGACACCGTGGGCCTCCAAATCGAGGTTTGAAGGTACATACTTAGTATGGCTTGGAAATATAACTACCTAAACTGGCTATTGATACCGACTTTCTGCAAGACAATTCACGGGCTGAAAATAGTTCTGGGCCAACCAAATTTCAATTTATGCATATTGATCATTTCTCTAGTTGTACATATATGCCGGGTTGTATAGTGTTGAAGTGGCATGGCGAACCTCTTCCCAACCCCGCTTCGACCAGAGTTACTCGAGAAATCTGATACCGTAGGGCTGTCTACCTCACCAATATAAAACTGCGGATACAATAACCCGCGAAGCAGAGAGAGAATTTGAAACAGACCATTCTACGAACTCCATAGCACAGAGGGTCTTTTTTGTATCATCGTTGTTGAAACAAACCCATTGAATTGTTTCCTGTTAGAAAATGCTTGCTCGTGCCCAATTGTTATTCAGCCCCCAAAGCTTAGCCAGAGGTCCCATTCGGTGTGGCCGTTGCAAGCCAATTTACGACTGTATTCTGACCTGTCGACCAAAGAATATAATGATGAGAGGAGAGAACCAAATAATTTCAATAAGAAGAGTCACGAAAACATGGATATATAACATACATCCAGCACCTACCACTCCTACCAAAGAACACTGTTGAGCCTCAAACAACCACAGACCATCAAATAAATCACAAAATTTCCCAAGTAAGTTCTCACATTACACAGTACCAAATGGCGCACCGTACCACCATCCCGCAAATCCACCGAGGATAAGGAAAATACCCGGTCTAACCATGGTCAACCGAAAAGTCAAGTCAGAAAGTCTTTTCGAAAGTCTGAAGAAAATAAATTTCCGAATGCCAATCTTGCGCCGGGAGATTAGCGGGCTCGTGGGTTCTTATTTTATGTCTTTCCCCCCGCTGGATTTTCCCATATCGATTATATATGACGTATCTGATACCGATTTTTGAGATTGCCCAGATTCCATTTTTTGTGGGAGGAAACTTTAATATTTGTTTCTAGACCGCTAGCTAGGTTTCACAAGTCGGAATCTCGGAAAATACTTGCAAGTGCTTTTGAGATTGGGTATTTTCCTATTGTATACTGCAGTATTGTTTGATAGTTTTATTAACAAATAAAAACATTATATTCGACGATTTCCAGCCCGTGGCGCCAACAATTCGCCCCATTCCGCACATTCGATCCATCCGCCCGCTCATGAGATCCAAGAAATTGAATAGAGTACAATGCATCTCAACAAAATGCCCAAACGCTTTGAACCCCCACCTGTCTGATACAGTTCTAACACAGAATACATGAAAGGAAATATGCCGAGATCCCACAGAAATGCAAGATACATAGAGCTCAAAATGAAGCATGAAAACCGATTTAACTCCTCCCATCGCTAAGTCGTAAATAAAGTCGACAACAAGATAGCAAAACTTCCCATAAAAAAAGAAATAAGACGAAGAGAAGAGACTATTCCTCATCCGCCTCGTAATCCAAATCTTCACCCTGGTGTATCTTCACCTCCCTCGGCCCTGACCCGATTTTATATTCGTGAAACTGCTTCATCCATTCGAAATCGTCTCCCTCCTTCTCTTTCCCAGGATACTCTATCCGCCTTAGTCCAACTGCAATCATCTCGTGTCTTTGAGCCATGTCGCTGGTGAAGATTTCGATTGGGGAAAGACCGCATTCGATAGGACTCATGGGAGAGAAAGTAGCTTCAGCTTCGTATGAAGGGGTGTGCGATTGTTGAGTGATCATTGTATTAAGATTTAATGCGGGTACGCGATTAGCGAAGCGGGTTGGGATGCTAGTGTTGGTGCTGGTTTGGACGTTGCTTCGTGCGTGTCGTAGTTTTGGAAGTCTCTGTAATTTGGATTTGGTTCCAGATATCGAGGCGGCTTTTGGAAGAGATGGGAGGGGGCGTTTACTGTATAGGTCGATATTTTTAGGGGTGGTGGAGTAATATGATGTTGTTGATGAGGTTGGCGATGGTACGCGAAGGGCTTCCCAGTCGTCTTCTGAATCGATTGTGGAACTGTTGCTTGAAGAACCCCGCCTTAATGTTGGGGGCAAAGAAATCAAGGTCCATTCTGATAAACAATTGCGTACTTGAGAAACACTAAAGAAATGAAGTTAGCAGATGTACTTCAAGAAGATGGGTAGTCAATACATACGTGACAGGGAGTCGTCGTTCGTAAAGCATGTCTACAATTTCCATTTCGCTCTTGTGGTCATCGAGGTAAAGTTTCGAAATCCAGTGTCGGTGAATGGAAAGTATGTCTTCGATAGAGAGTTCCACGTTGCGGATATCCATGGTGTTCATGTTTATTGCTTTTAGTGTTCGAGGGGTTTCTGAAGATTGTTCGGTAGTGAGATGTCGAGTATGAAATAAGCTCAAGAAACATATCTGAAGCAGGAGCAAGGTGATATATGTGTTTTTCCTTTCCGAATACCTTGTATGGTCCCTTGCTGTGCCTGGTACCTGTTTGTATGATGCAGATGAGATGGACTGTACGTATTGACAAGGGTATTGTCATTTGTGGACGGGGTGGACCTGGGAAAACATCAAGTTTTCCAGGGTTCGGTTTTGGCGCGAGACAATTTGGTTGCCTACGATTGGGGTAAGTCCGTGACCCTTGTTTAATGACAAGCAATAATCCATGACATATTAGATAACAGGGGAGGTTACAGACTGTCGACAGAAATGACAGCATGCACAGCTTGACAGCCTTGTAGAATCTGGGCTGAATGATGCATGCAGATGTGGCTGCTTTTTTTCTATTACGAGATATTGGATGAGAGGCACATGAATATGAATGACGCCTACCGAAGCTATGCTGCAGAGCTGACTGCATCAGCCCGTAACCATGGTGTCGGGCTCATATCAACAAAACGGGAGGATGTTTATGCATCGAAAGAGAGATATGACAACCTCACAATATGCAGATAAACATACTTCATAGCATAACCTTCGTATCAAAATATCACGGAGTAGGCGAGTTATGAAGAATAGCTAAGCTTGCGAGAAAAGATGGAGAGCGACGAGTGGACAACGGGGAGTTTTGCGGATAATGGACGTGCTCTCTTTACCCCTCCGAGACATTATCAACTTCAAAGCTTGAGTTTTGGGAAACGCGCTCTAGAGGGACTCTGGAGTCACTCCGGATTGATTGACAAGTGACCAGAGCACAATTAAAAATGAGGTTTTCCACTTCTATGTTTCGGGCGATCATCACTTGATTTCATGGAGATGTGAGAGTGTGGCACATACTTCGACATGGTGCAAATCGTAACGAACTCACCAATAAGAAGAGTGCGACCAGAAAACCAGATCAGAACCGGAATCCCCGCTAAAATTCGCAAGCTCTCTTGAGATTGAGGAGTGACTTCGGATTTCGAGGTCGAGAACCACTCCTGGGGATCATAAGTGGAATTGTGAAGAGATGTGTCAAATGTGAGAGGCCACACCACACGCACGACATGGAAGTGTCCACATGGGGTAAAAGTACTTGGCGTTGATTGCCGCTAATGGGCGGGTATCCAACAAGTAAGAATCACGCAAAAATCGTCTGTTTCCTAAAGTGGATGATATTTTTGCGAGAGATACCAGTGGGTCGAAATCTGGAGGAACACCGTGCTCCCATCAGGACCCATCTTTTGAGCAACTTCTGCAACTTTAGACCATCTGTGCTTTCTCGCCTAGAAGCACTGAAAACAGCCATGAGCCTCAAGAGCGGGGTGACCGCGGCACCTGCGGCAAATAGAGACAAAAATGGTACACAGTTGCGAGTTCATGAGCTTAAAGTGAGCCGAGATCCGCAGTAGCGTACGATTCTCTCCGATGTGCATAACAAATTTGAATCATTACCAGATTGTCATTTCATTGCGAACCTGCACCATATGAGCTAATTCTAGGGATTGCTGCCTCGAATATTCTTGCCAGCGTTTCCGTCAAAATTCAAGCCCGTTATGATCATTTCAAATGATTAGACGAACAAGATTTGTGGCCAAGCGTACCTTGTAAATGAAATATACGAAGACCCTAGCCGGCGTAGTATTATTCGGTCTCCCGAATGCCTGGGACTTTTCTTTGAGCAAGGTGGTCTCAGCAGTCAACAGTCACCCCTCGTACAGGGCAAGGCAGGCATTTGTTTTCAACACCAAAACCCTTGCAAAGGTATTTGGTGGCGGCGTGGCGCATGCATCTACTGCCGTTATGAAAGGAAATCATGAACTGTAATAATGGCCCTCGTATTTTGTTGAGATAATTTAATGCTAGATTGTGTCTTCTCGTTGACTATATTTCTCCGATGCGAAAGTTTTGCTTCCAGAAATATCCTCTGATGAGTAATGAGATGTCCTTGTTGTGTGTAGATGTTGCGACCTTTATCGTGCCCCAGAGTTGACGAGATGCGACTCATCGGATGGCGGGGTTTCAGGAGGCGACCTGCACAAGAGATCATTGATTAACAATTACATCTCACTGGTTGCTTTGAGTCCCACAAAGCGGATAAATGTCCATAAGGTGGACGGATTTTGGTCTTGATGCCCTAAGATAATATGATCCATGTTATGATGTAGCATTATCGGATTCTGTCTCAACAAGGCCATGAGTCTTCATGGCGTCGCTAAAAGGAAATGATGGGACGGATAAGCGAGGAACTGCTAGATGAAAAGGGGTCTCAGTGACTGCTTGCCACGTGTAAATATATGGTCCGTGCGATGGCCCCCAATCTGGACTGCCAGATCGCCATTGCTCAGACGAAAGTGAGAGGTCGGGCTGAGGTGAGCGAACGCCACTATTAATCAAGGCTGACATGTTTACTTTGATTTACTTGAAGCAGGAACGAGTACGGAGTCCACCAAATATCAGATTGTTTTCATCCGATGGCACTTCCAAAATCATTCGGTATCGCAGGCTTTGGTTTCTACCTACCAACAAATCTCCATTTGAGTTTCAAGGCTCTTTTTATTTTTAGAATTTGGTACCGCCATTTGCCTGCCGTATCACGTTGACGCCAGGAATCTCCATGTCAGTCACGCGACTCAGCACTGGGTTCAATTTCCAGCCACAAACCACTTTCTCAGCCATGGCAAGGGACTTGGGTAACAACCACGTGAAAATCAGTTATCCCGTAAAGCTGGACCTTGCAATTAGGATTTTGGTCAGGAACAAGGCTGCATATAATATATTACCACAAGCGCGGCGATATCGTGACAATTTCCATTCGACTCAACTTGGAAGGTAGGAGTTGAGGCTGCAATGGAAGACGAAAATCCGACAGAATGGTTCAGGTTTAGCTTCTCGGCACCTGAGCATTCTGCAGGAACGTCTTCAAAATTCTGCAATGACTAAAGAACTCCCGTAAGGAGAGTATTGCTTGCGTTTCTCGGGATTATGGAAGCAGGTTCGAGTGGCGCTGTCAAAATAAATTAACTATCTCGTGATCTTACCAGAGAATCGGAACCGAGAAACCTTCGTCATCCCTCAATTGTAATTGCCACGTTTTTGATTCACATACCGTATATTACCTTTTTTTCGGAATGGCGTTCTGGGCAAGTAACAAAGGTCGGGTATATGACGAATTCGCGTTTCCTCAGAGATCGCATTTTGTTTTTATATCGGCTGTGTTTCACGAGCTCACGTCTGACTGTTGAATCATTTTGGGCAATCCAAGCCGAGCCGACGTACAGAATATTCCACGGATTTCGTGAGGAGTACCAAATGCACGAGAAAAGATTTGAAGGTGTCTCAAGTACAATAACCTCAGGCACTTGTAACAATCAAGCCATGCAACACTCAAGCCATTGTGTTCGTGTTTCTAAGTGGGGTAATCCTTCAACTAGGCCTAACAGGGAATGTAACGGCGACATGACGGAAATATCCTTGCCACGACAAAGGAAAAATCCTTCAAACTTGGAAAGAATAAAATGACCTAGGTAGCTTTAAGGAATGATTACCAATATCCAGATGATCACTGAAAAGTTAGAACTTTCTTTAATCACGAGTTGTCTAGGTGAGTGGTGGACTCGCTTAAAATTAAATCACTTGAGTTCTTAGCGTTTCCCCCTACCCACAGTTCTTGATTCTACTGATCACATTAAGCGACTTTCTGAGAGTTCCTTCACTTGATTAGCAAAAAGGTTTTGTGTGCGTTTAGACCTTTTTGCGTAGTCTTGTGCGATTGAGTAGCAACGTTCGGCATTTGGAATTTCCTTTCCATTCCAGACCCCTTCTATGGAATATCCCATGCTAAATTAAAGGTCCCTAGGAATATTCTAATTCTAGACTATAGAATTTAAAGTTCCATCTTGGAATTCGTTACATGATCTATAAATACTGAGGTCTAGGAATTTAGCTGTTCCGGCTGTCTAGCTAATAGGAGAGGCTTAGGTCTAAGTCAGGACTTAGTACGTCCCTCTGCTAAAGCGACAGTATTAGGCTAGTACGTATTAAATGTTGACTACTACTAGTATATGACTAATCAGTATAGTGAAGAACTTATATATTCACTATCTAAATAACTGTTCGTTAGGAAATCGAGTGTGCTTATTAGTTAAAAGGCTTTATATATATATATATTCTATTTAGAATTACAAATTACAGAGGCTTATCCTCTGGAATATTCCATTCTAAATTAAAGAGCCTTTAGAATATTCCACCTTGGAATGGAATCTTAGAATCCTTGGAATCGATTTCCAAGTGCCGAACGTTGTTAAGTAGCTTCATTTCCTACATCTAGTATTTTTTAGCATGAGAGGGTACTATGAAGCTTCGTGTTTCAATCATTTAGCCTGAAGACAAGCGTATAAGAGTGTCATATGAGCCAAGAGCTATATGCTGATCAAAAAATGTCATTAAGTGCCACCATTTACATAAAGCCGTTGATTCTACCTTATGTAGAGGGACTGTACCTCAATCAGCTCAATGATCTCTCGTACTTACGGACCATGAAGGCGTTTAAGTCAGAAGGGGTTTCCAGTAACGCAATTTCCCCGCCTCTCTGTTCTACCCTTCACTCTCTCTACTCTGTTGATTCTGGACCAAAAGTCTTTTTTACCGCGTTTAACCTCTTTCTCCTACACTCCACTTTACTATGTCTGATCGATGGTTTATCGATTGCTGCAACAATGAACTCTCTAGTAAAGGCATGGGCGAACCCGGAGGACACTCATACCTCTCTGCTCGAAAAAATTGACGTTTTAGTTGTCGAGTACAAGGCGACCAGCCATCATGTCCCATCCACCAGCACCAGCTCTGAGCTTGATCAGAGGCAGAGTCTTAGCCCATTCCTTTATAGGAAAATCGTCTTTTTTCTCAGGACTATAACTACGGAGCGCTCAATTCATTGGTAGCAGTCTCAATGTACACATACCGTAATTAACATCCCACTAACACCAAAGCTATCCTGTTCAAAAACAGACTTGGGGAGAACCCAACTGCACCCAGGTCAGCGAAAATGAAAGAACTGGAATACAACATGTTAACTGGATTTAAAGATTTGGAAACCAGAACTCACTCGCCTTATAAGGGAGAATCAGGCAATTACCATGTATGAAGAGTGTGAAAGATAGAAGGAGGATCACCAAGCTTTGGAACAAATCTGGGGAAGAGTGGAAGTGGATGGATTATTTATGCATTCTTGAAATCCCTGACACCTACGGTACACCGTAAAGAACTGGCATGCTAAGGACGAACAACGAAGACGCTATTCAGAAGAGAAATCCAACATCATCACGGGTGGGAAAACCATACGTCAGGTGGAAGGGTCAAAGAATCAAACCCAAGATATGCGCTAAATTCAATTCTATATATCTAAGAAATACCTTTGAAGGAATCATGATACGGTATCCTCAAAACACCAGAGGGACACGACATACAAGAAAACCACAAGAGTCTATACTACTATACTAGAGCTTTAAATCTCCCCTAATCCCCCAAACAAGCGACCTCACTAAGCTAAAGAGCTAGAAGACAGAAAACGTCAGAAGACCCAAAGATCTCTTTCCACCCATGCTGCTGTATATATACCTGGCCGCTGCCGAGGACCTTCCCCCGAGGACATTTACTTTGATTAATACCCACATCCTTCTATAAAATCTCCTTGCTGTATATATCGTCGGCGGGGTGCGGATCATTCCACTTCTACGTTCAAAGCGGGTGCTATTACGTTCTGTGAACCGCCTAGTATCTTACTACTTTCAAGCTGTAATTTTGTTACATCTGTTTAAACTTGCTAGTGTTACGAAAGTAAGAAACCTGGTCATTGCTCTGTACAGTACACGCTGTCCAAAGTTGTTGACGATGCCAAAGGTCTAGCACAACTTAATTAGTTGTCCTATTTTACCTCGGTTAATAAGGAGTAAAAAGTATCAATTATACTAAACTATTCGTATAATTAATTTAGTTGTGTAAGGTCTCTAGGATAATATTTTTATAACTTAGGCGTGTATAGAGTAATGCCCGCCCGCCTGTTATACTCAACAATGAGCGGCCAGAGGGTTATTGCATCTAACGAGTTGTATAGGTACAATACTGTATAAATGCGAACAAACGCGCAGCAGACAGAGAACTAGACTAACTTCCGAACCATATATTTCTAGAAGATGAAAGGTATACTAACTTCAATCCATTCATCTCCTCTCCACCTTTCATACATTAATCGAAGAATCTCCAACGCAAGATCTCTATAGACATAAATACCATCACTGACTATAAATCAAATACTATCAACCCCAACACTTCCTTTGGCTTTCTTTCACTTTCTTTCAGTGATCTTATAGCACAGCACAACTTCACCTATCAACCTCTTGACAATAATCATGAACATAATATACCAGCCCATGGGAACCGAGTACACTTCGAAATTTCATCAGGGTCTTATACTCCATACTCTACACTACAGAATAAATGCGATATCTTTCATCACTCCATTCACTCATTAGGAATTACCACAAAATACCAACACCAACACCATTATAGATTCCTAATACTATAACACTATATTTCCTCATTACCCCAATAACCGCTCATGTCTATACTCGTAAGATCCGACTGTAAATACCCACTTCCAAGTCCTCAAACATTAGGAAATGGAGGAAGGAAATCTCAGACGACGGGATTTTAGGTAAGTAGCAAATTGGAATAGAGAGAGAGAGAGAGAGAGACTGTTGTTTGGTAAATTAGTACTAGAAGGGAATTTTGTAACTGTTACAAACACCTTTCTACATCCTATCAAATTGTGATGGAATCTTATGTACAGTATAATAAAAGAACGTATTGTTAACCCTGTAGCATCGTCGGATGTATGTATGTATGTCTTGGCTCGGAATGGGAGAAGGAGATAGTAAGATTAAATATGTTTTTATACGTGGTGTATGTACGATGTACAAAAGTATGTAAACAAGATACTGTATTAAGCGAGACATGTTTGTAAGAGTTCTCGAGTATGTATATTAAAAGGTAGCTATAGTACTGCAAAAATTCTCGCTAAAACGCGACAGACATGTCTTTCGTTTCTTTCATCTTTTCCTTCCGTTGCCCAAATGGTTATTAGTTTCTTCGCATCTTACCTCCTCCGTTTAAGATTCACACCAATCATTACCCCCCCACCACCCCCCTAATCCCCATCCCTTCAAACTCCCCTCACCC